TTTTTATTTGAAAAACGGATGAGTGGTAGTTCTTATGTTTAGATGTTACTAAAGAAGTTTCTTATACTTTGTTGAGATATTAACAATGTTTTAGTAACATAAAATTGTATGCTGGTGTATGATCAAAATAAACATCTGATAGGGGAATTTGTTCCATTACCCAGTTCCATCACTAAAACCATCTTTACATCTTTATATCTCTTTACGATTTTAGTAAGAATGATTCTAAATGTGGTATTCACATAGGTAGTATTTTGTTCTACATGTAAAGTGAGTCAGAGTTCAAGAAGGGAAACTGAGGTTCCCAAATAAAGAGTTATACTCGTCAAAATGAGCTAAGCTGGAGATCAACAGACTTGGTGCGTTGATTATATAGTATCCGACAGCCTTTCTTCTGAAAAGGTATGATATATTTAGATTCCAGAAAGCTGCTGGTATAGTCCCACACAAAATGTTCATCTGTAAGGCTATAGAAATCCAAGGGTACCTCTGTGCATGCTATAAGAAATGGTGTGTGAACAGAAAATGGAGGAAAATAATGAGAGAAACCTTTAGCTGAACTGATGCAATTGCAGTGTGCCACAGTGAATTGTCTTTTATGGGCCCTTTTCTTCCAGATGTATACCTGTGATCTATATTCTTGAACAGTTCATAAATTTTTAGAAGGTACACAAATGTGTAGAGTGACTAACAATATACAGAAATAGCAGTAAACAAAATGCAGAAGGCTAAACTTGGTGGAATGTCATGTGAAAACGTTGTACGTGTCTATCTACTGCAAGATTCTTGCCTTGATAATACAGGGATGTGATAAAATATAGTGCTTTCAAAGAAAGGTAACAAAGATGTTAAAGTAAAAGCATTTTGTCTATAGTCTTGGAAAAAAGGGCTTTTTCATGTTTTCAAAATCCACAATGGCACCACAAAATGTTGCAATGGTTTCCCCTCAAAGCACTAAAACCCCTTCAAGAATCCAGGGAATTACTTAAAGCTCACAGTTAAATAAAAGGAAATTAAAATTTGTAAGAGACACATTCCAGTTTCCAGGCAGTTTTCTATAGAAAGTCTTAGGGCTCAGGAATCAGATTGTAATTATAACAATTATAATTTGACATTCTTTACAATGTGGATAGATAAACAGATCAATGTGTATTTAGCGATCAAGTATTTAAGAGACTTTCTCTCATTTGTTGCCCTTTAATGATTTTGCATTTTATTAGGCATATTTATTACATCAATTACTTTTACAGTTTGTTGGTGTTACATAATCACATCACTCACATGTGCAAGTAGTTTCACTCACTAAATCCACCTGAGCAAGTAGTTTTTGTTTTTAGTAACAAGCTTCACAAATTAAGAAGAGTTTTTTTTTGGGCTGGTACATTACATGAGGCCATACATTCCACCCTTTCTCCCTACTTTAAATACTTAACCACATGGAGCTGCAATCAGTTATGTTTCTGAAGATTCTATACTGTATATTGTTTCAAAATGAACAAACTGATTTGTTTAACCTCTGTAGCCTCTTTATCACTTAGCACATGTATCTTACAACAGAAAACACATTTTCACATTTTATGTTTCATAAAACCTTTTTTTTTGCCTAAATTAATCTTAAAACTATGCTACAACCTAACAAATCATACTCATGAGCAAGAGTCACATGAATGCTGTCAAGCAGCAGCAGACAGAGTCAGTGTGAAGTTGTCAACTTTCACCTTATGATTTGCACTTCAGATCTCCCTATTTACTAATACTATATTATTGGCCGAACAAAGGATAGGGTCTACAGCTGCCAATGCAGTCATTATTTTGTAGTTACCCAGTGGTGAATGTATGCTCAATTAGCTACTATTTAGTACTCAATTAACTACTATTAAACCAGTTAGATTGGCCAGATGGCCTCCTCTTATTTGTAAAGTTGTTCTTGTTCAGAAGTGTGTATGTTATGATGAGCCATTCTTTTCTCCATGTCATATGGGCATTCTACAACAGGCAAATATTGTTAGACTAGACAATCCTGAGAGTTGTAGTTGTGCATTCATGTTCAGGTATTCCTGAAGGTAAACAGGGGCATGATCTAAACTTTCAGAACATTTTTGGTTTCCTTCTTTCTGCAAATTAAGGAGTGAAATGAAGATTGTAGTTGTCAATCATATTGCTGAAGCACTGTAAATAAAAGTCCACTGGAGATGTCAGAAGTATGAAGTAAAAACAATCTGACTTGACACCAATGATATATAGATTATTTCTGAAGAAGTCACATCATTTGAACAGAACAAGGTATCATATGTTTTCAGAAACAAAGAACATGAATCTGGAATGCAAAAAAGGTAAGAGAAATTCTTGATGGCAAAAAAGTATCACTTTGAGAACTGAATTGAGGTTCTCTTGTGAAACCACAAGTGAATGATGTTGAGTGTATTCAGCTGTTTTTCTCAGTGATCAAAATGAGAAGCAGCCTATCTTCCAACATTGAGAAGACATACAGTACCACAATACAGTTCCTGCATGGAAAATAATAATGGAAATAAATAATAGAAATAATTCACATTAATTGCAAATATTCTTGAAAAAAAACATTTTACAAGCTAGAACTTTTCTATGTGATTATTTTGTCATGTTTGATTATAATACATTTTTAGATAAAAACATCTGTAGCTAAAAAAAAAATTGATTACATGCCCCAAATTTTAAGATGTAAAGTGTTTTTGTCTGAAGGTATTACATTATCAGATCTTCAAAGGATGTATTGATCAATAACATTTCACAAGAAATCGTTCTCTTTTCCACCAATTCACAACAGGTTTAATTCTTCATTTGTAGGGAATTTATTTGTCTTTTCCAAGCCTATTAACTAAATTATGATTAAATACAATTGTTGAACTGTAAGTGCTTAACTTTATCATATTATTTTGTTAAAGTGTAGCACAGTTACTTAGATCACATACAGTACATTATTTTTACATTATTAATTTATGTTTTTTTTAAGTGATTACACGGTTACAGCACAAGTAAGGAAAGGATTAAATCTATCATTTTCTTAGCAATGCTATTGAATCAATGTAATTTCATCAAAACAAATTTATTTGTGTGTGACACATTGTCTAATGGTTTACCAGTACGGCTGCTTAAATTTAAAAAAAGTGTAATTAATTATTATTATAAGTATACTCAAATAAAAACAATCCCCATTGCCTCTTGGGGTGAAATAAGGGATGCATGATATTTAAAATTGAGCATATTAAAGTTTAATGTAGAAATGCAAAATGTTTCAATAAATGACAACAGTAATTTTTACATTGTGGCAACCGTAGCTGCTACCATTCAATTGAGCTGTTTTAGCTGGTCTTGTCCTGTCACCTTTTAATCCATTTTATTTGTTTCCTTTCAGAAGAGCCACACAAGCCAGCTAAAACAGGTCCAACTTCTTGTCCCACAGCAAAAGGAGGTATGACTCCATCATGTTTTCCCTTAGTGGCTAAAAGACATCCGTGTAAAGAGTCACTGATTACCAGTAACTAGTTTTGAATATCGAATGTCCTTTCCTGTGATAAACCTAGATTTCTGATACATATCAGTTTCTTCCAGGAAACTATCCTTATCCTAAACCATACGGCTCACAAAGATTAAAGGGTCCTTTTTTACATTCAAATCTTCTGGTTCTGTCAATACTGCTGTTTGTAATGGATTTATTATTCAGAAAAAGATTCATTCTTTGAGTTTCTGAAAATATTTCAATTACAGGAAGTGAAGAAAGCCAGTGCGCACACAAAACAAAACTTTTCTTACATTTTACATATTTTACATATTATAATGACATATTATAATTTGACTGTTGAGTGTATGTCTTATATACTGTATAAAGCAAATTCTAAACCCTGGCTCACGCTCATATGCCCGTTTTAAGGATGATTTACTTACGTTTACTTACTGATATGAGATTGAAACACTAAACCATTATTCAGTAAAAATAAAGACAGACCTGAGGTCAAGGAGGTGGCATCAGAAACAACAGAGGGAGGGAGGAAACTTTTGGGAAGGTACAGAAGATGTACTGTATACATCTAATAAGGTTATTGAATAGAGAAAGATTATCAGAAAGTCCTTGGTCCAGAAGCTTGGTGGGGTGAGATTTCTTCACTGTTTGGTTCTTTTTAGCAGAAGTTGATTTGTAAAGTAAATAGTAAAGTGCTGGATAGACCCAGGGCTGAGGAGGTGGAATCAGGAACGGGGGGGAGAATTCCTTGGCCAGTAGCTCCAAAGATGTTTAGCTGTGTTGGACACCAGAGATATAAACAAAGGGAAAGGTATATATTACATTTGAAATAGAAGTCTTGGAATGCCTGATGGCTGAGTCAAAGGTAGACGAACCCAGGTCCCAGAAGAGCGGTGTCAGGAACAGCAGGGACCAGTGAAATATGATGAATAAAGAATTCAGACCCATGAACTCAATATTTGGTGGAAGTACCTTTGGCACCAATTACCAAGTGTTTTTTTGTTCCTATCAACATTTCACTCCAACATGGTGCAATTTATGCCCATTTTTAGCAAATTTGCTCACATTGTCTCAGTTGGATTGATTTCATTTTCTTACTCTTTAACTATTCCAGTGTAGCATTGGCCTTGTGCTTAAGATTATTTTCCTCCTGAATGTTGATGCTAATTCTTGTCCTAGTTTAAGGACTAAATAAGGGTTTCTACAATTTGCCATTACTTTGCTGCATCTATGCTTCCATCAGTCCTAACAAGCCTCCCAGTTCCTGCTGGTGAAAAGCAGAACTATTATAAATAACACATGATATATTTATACAAAATATGCTACAATGGTGCTACAGCATCAACCAGTGTTCTTTTGCTGACTGAAACATGTTTTACTCTAGTATTTGCCCATAATTTCCTGTCTTTCCATACTAATGAGTTTCCAGTCCCTGCTGAGGAGAAGTATCCTCATAATATGATACGCCCACCACCATGCTTGACTGCAGGAATTGTGTTGGTTGGGAGCTGGCATGTTTTGAGTTTGACCGAATGCAATATTTGACTTTAAGACCAAAAAATAATATTTAGTTTTCATATGATAATACCACCTTTACCATATTTTACAGGTGCTTTGATGCAGACTCTATATGGGGTTTGAGATATACAGTATACTTTATGTAATGTCATCCTTCTTACCACCCTGCCAAACAAATTCGTTTTGTGAAGTGTTCTGGATATTATTGACTGGTACACATTTTCTCCCATTTCAGCCATTGAACTCTAGCTGTTTCAGATTTGTCACTGACCTGTCAGTGGCATTCCTTTCAAGTTCTATGTGCCCTGTTTGGAGGGATGGCCTAATTGAGGCTCGCTTCAGTGTAACTACTGAGCTTAATGATTGTGCTCAAAGGGATAAAAAAAATCACAGTTTTTTTGTACACTTTTGACTTATGTTTTTTCGATAGTTTTATCCCCTTGACTTGCATTGAGTGTGCCGTCATTTCATTGTTGAACCACTACTTGACTAAGGAACCGCACTTAGACATATGAAATCATGAAAGCCATCGTTATTGCATATAGACAAAGACCACTTGGATAATTGTGTGGCTATGATTTTATACACATTAATTAATTTAGGTTTATTACAGCAAAGGGTTTGGATACTTTTACTAAAATTACTCTTATATTTTTTCTTTCATATTATTTATTTACTTTTTTGTTTTTTTGCTTTGAATGTGTGGAGTTCATTGTATATAACAAATATTAATTGTTTCTTCAAAGTGTCATGACTGCAAGGTTCAAAGACACAAAATGTGAAAAGTGTCTGAATACTTTTCCAAGACACTTTATATCTACTTTGTTCAGTCTACTGTACATGTATTTGTATGGCAACTTATTTGTTCAGCAGCCATTGAATCTGACAATTCCAGCCCAATGGTCTGAAAGTCAGTCCATTCCAACAACTCATTAGTTTGACAATTCCAGTCCATTGGTTCAGTCTAACCCTAACCAACAAACTGTCAGAAAAAAAAGCGATTTCCTTTGTCAGTGGGCTGTGAGAACAATTGTCAGTTCTACCATTCTGCTTCTGGAGGAACATGCACATTTTTTCAAGTGCTTCTCCCCTTGAAGTCATGGATGTATCATTGAAGAAATCAATCAATCAGCAAGCCTGACCTAATATGGTCACCACCATAATAAATAAAACCCAGTATGGAGAAAACATTTAAATCTATTTTCTGCCCACAGACTACACATCTGTTCAAATCTATTGAGTAGCTTTGCAATTAAATATATATACTGTATACTGTATATACTGTATATAGTGAGGTAGAAAGGTTCCAAAATAATGAAAATCATTTAGTTTATCTGGGAAACAAAGGTCACTCTACCAAGATGATGAAACTCTCTTGAAATATATTAATATATTTATATTATGTTATATCATGTGAGGTTAACATTTTTTCATACAGCTTTTAAAGGGGATGAACTAGCTAATCAAAACAATAACTGAAGCACCCACATGATATAATTAATTTAATATGGTTATATACAATTTAAATATTTAAAATATTTCTTCAGGTTGACTATGTCTGTAACTAACTGAAGTTCCCCAAGCAGAGATTGGACAAGCTGCTTGCTTGAGTGTGCTTTTGTCCATCATGATATCCTTGACTTGCTGAGGAACAATGTGCTCTGTGACTTACAGAGATAAAAGCAAAATCACTCTTCCAATTAACACCATCTCCCATGAAGACACTGGTAGATTCACAGCGTAAAGAATGGTGCATGGTTCTGACAGGGGACTGCATTTCTTTGTTGTCAGAGGGATACCAGCTTGCCCTCTGAGTAAGGAAAGCATTTGAAGGGGGAAGTATGAACCTTTTGTAGATTATAGATATACACACAAAATATTAGAAATATTAATGTAATCACACGGGTTATGCAGATGCAGTCATTCAGAATGCCTATCAAAATTCATGTCCACAGTAAACTTTCTGTGCTGTACTCTGGTTTGATTTGCCTTGCTGAGTTTAGCTTTTCACTGCCCATACAAGATCGATAAGTGGCACTTGTGATGTTAGTGAACCGGTAGTTTCATTTAATCTGTTGTACTACTTCTTTAAATCCACTTAATAGGGAATCATGTAATTACAGGGACATTTTGGTAGCTGAAAATAAAAATAACCAAACTATAATAATGTTTCTGAATGTTATTAACAAAATTTAACTTATGAATATAAATGTAATTTATTTATATATCTGGTAGTTGAAAATAAAACAAAGTACACAACAGTATTCCACTTTCTTCATCGGTCACTTGATGTAGATATTTTTGTTTTGACAAGTTCATGTTGACTACATTTTCCATCAACACTTGCTGCTGTTATTATTGTAATTGAAAAAGAAACACTTGTACAAAATGGGGAAGGAAATACTTGTATTTTTTCATTTAGCTCGTCCAAGCAGAGTGACCCATTGGTGGTTCAGCAGTAGAATTTAGCAGGAACAGGGTGAAACAGATACAGCAGACAGAAAAAAGATTTGTGAATCTGAATAAGCTGGGTGCTGTGGGAAGACATCACTAAATCAGTGCTTGATACAGGTTTCAGAGAGATCAGATTTCAAGTTTTCTTGTTACAGGTTTCAGGTTTTGCGTGAAGCGCCTCCTGGAAAAAGGCTCACAATGCCGAGCACTGATACCAGCGTAAACAGTATTGAATAGAGAACCTAATAGAATAATTAGAAGGACTAATTGAATGACTGGTAGAATGTAGTTCAAATTAATAAACGACTTGACTGTGTTTGTATGTGATTCCCGGTGGCAATGGTAACGTCTCCTAGGGCAAGTAAGGACTGTGTGCTTCTGCCCTGATCATTCGTGACATTATCACAGCATGTTAAAATTAAAGTAATATTAACAATAAATGAACTAATAATGTGACTACCTCAATGTAGTGTACAGTTAGCAAACGTGTGAATACTGCTATGGGGGAGTAAAGACCAATAATCTGAGTGGGTGAGGGATCATGAAATTATGTGATAAGATACATTAAAATGATAAGATAATTTATGTTCATGTTTTTCAATGCAATTTCATTTATTCATGGCACAATTTGTCTTATACTGTATATTTTTAAGATCCATTGTTAGACTATGTACGATACAACCAAATATGTTTTAAGTAAAAATGAGAGAAAAAGAATTTTAGAGGATTAACTTTACAGCTGCCCATCTCACTGAAGCATTTCACACTATTGTGTGAAAATATTGTGTATCACCTTTTGTATAGGAGAGCATACATTTTATTACAAATTATTACATATCTGCAGTGCATTATGTGAAGTTAACTGAGGACAAGCAGAATGTCCTGATTTGGGGCACAGCAGACACATTTATACTGAGGAGCAAATAGATGGGACGGACAACAAGTGCAACATATAAACCCAGCAGTCACCCCAGGGAAAG